TTTTCAGATTTTTAAAAATGCAAATATTTAAGAAATTACTTATCTTTGGCACTTTTTTGGCTACCCTTCATATCAGTCTTTTAAAAAGTACAAAGGAAACCACCAGGCACGCAAGTTTTTCACATGCATGATTTGCATCCAACTATACCCTTGTATCAAAACACAGAAAGTAATTTAAGTGCTTCCTTCTCGACTTTACTCTTTTCATTCCTACGAACGGTCACAGATTTTGGCAAGGCAGACAGAATAAAAGCAAACTTACTTTTTCCAGTTTCTGTCTTTAGAAACTGAGGGTTATTTCTTACCTGGAATAATAGTGTAACTGCCTGCTCTCATCTGTAGAAGACAGAGATGTGGTGGGACAACCTCTTGTAAAAACACGACATCTGGACTGTATCTGAAATTGGCAAGAGAAGTTTTTGAATTAACAACTGAAAGGCAGTATGGTTACACTCTGAGACCAAACAGAACAGTGTCAGGTATTTCAGGTACACCTTGTGCTCATCTTCATAGATATTGTAGGAATCTGTTTTTTAAAAAAAGAAAAAACTCTTTCCATTACATTTAGGAGCATGTAGACATATCGCCATTGTTAAAAGGGAGGAAACAATAATTATTATGGACATGGAACTGACATGTAGTAAAATGCATGACTTCCTTATACCTTGATCTTGCAAATATTTGCACAAGTTTCATATACTACATGCACAAGGAATTCAACTTAAACAGCTGCAAAGCAGCTTTGGAACATGTTCTGCAACATCCAAGTTCTCCAGGAAATTCCAACCGTCACCTCATTCCCTTACAACAGATCTCTTCAGCTAACCTGTCATTCTTTTTCTCCAGTCTCACTGATGACAAGCTCTTTTATTTCTTAAAGGTGTGCAATCAGTAACAGTTCATGTGGGGCAGCAGTCCTGAAAATGCTGATTTAGGCATGACTTTACAGCTGTCCTTATTCTTCCTACACTGCTGGATAGATCTGCTCTAAACATGTAAGACCTTATCTACAGAAGAAAAATACTGTCATTCCAGATTAACAAAATCAAGTGAAATTTGATTTAGTTAAGGGGTTTCTGCTGCTTTAAGAGCAATTTAAATTATCACTTATATCATTTAATTTACACTGATAAATTACTGTATTAAATCAATTTAGGTAATTATTAAATTGCTTATAAATATATTCATGGGAGGCTTCCACTGGTAGAACCATAAAAGGAATATCACAGATTCTATTGCTTTTATCTTACCCTGCACATTTTCTTTTTTGACAGGCACGTAACAGTAGTGGCAAGAGAGCCACTATTCACATTTCTTTAAAAAATACTTTTTGTCATTTCAAACAACTTGCTCTAGTCATTCATACTACTGGACTGAGTCAAGTTTCTTTCAGTTTCACCCTCCTCTCATGTACAGGATGGAAGTATGAAGTATGCTCTTGATGTATGACTGCAACTTGAACAATATCATTAATTATAAAAAAGCTTTTTAAAGTAGCCATTGCAACATATTTAACCTTCAGGATGCTACATAGGTTCACACCTCTTCCAACCAGTATATCGACTTTTATTCAGCTCTTTAGTATTTGTATTGTTGCATCTGCCATTAAGATAATCTAGGCATGAAGATTTGTAAATATATAAAACACAAAGTTTGCTTTCTCCTTTAAAGCTGGGTACATGATAATACAAAGATGAAGCTACACTTACAATGCCAGGTAAGAACAGATTCCTCTAGCTCGTTCTTTTAGATTTCCTAGATCCAGCCCATCAATATTCCAGGTTATCAGTGAGAAGCTGCTGTCATCTTCTTGTGGCCTCGAGTCTGTACTACTGACACCAGCATTACTAGTAGTTGCATCTGCTGTGAGGTCAATACTAAAGAGAGAGTTTACTTGTTTGTCAACATGCACAATACTATTTTTCCTGCAATTACCTCCCTTATCTAGTAAAGAAAGATGTTTTAGACCCATCACAACTTACAGATGGACATATAAAACTTCCTCAATAAATAAATTAACATTTATTGATCTCAACATAATTTAAAAGCGCAGTAACTAAAACATACAGGCTTCAGTCATACAGAGCCTTGCAGTGAGGTGAAGTAAGTAGTTTTTCCTCCTCCTTATAGACACAAGGTAACACTTACCATTCTGATTCAAGTTAATCAGACAGCAACCAATGTAATCCAAAGCACTTGAGTAATTCAACTCTTTCCCCAGGCTAGAGGCAGGCTGTATGTATTAGTTTTTCAAACACCTCCAAGAATATATAAAGAACTGCAGCCAGGACTTGCTTTTATGTGCCCATCTTTGTAGTACAGGTGAAATTCTTCCAATTGCCAAACCCTCTGGAGAGGTACATGTGCAAACTCACTCTGCGACAAACCAATAGTCCTTTTTTGAGGGGGAATATTCACTTCAAAGCCCACCTCAAAAACACAGGCTTCGTCTACACTGTTGATCTGAGAAAGGCTAAACAGCACTGTCAAAGTTTGAGTGCCCACTCCAGTAACCATTTGAGGACTGTGTTGCTAACGAGAACTACTTTACCTGCTAACACATGGTTGTGCTGGTTAATTTTCTTCATAGCACCTCATATGGCGCTGCGTTTTGGACTTGTGACTAAAACAGCATTGATATCACAGGGGTGTGTCAGCTGTTGTGAGCAGGGCTTACACAGTGTCTGGGCCTTCTCTGCTTCTCCTGGTGCCCTGCCAGCGAGTGGGCTGGGGGTGGGCAGGAGGCTGGGAGGGGACACCGGGGCAGCTGACTCCAACTGACCAAAGGGACATCCCATAGCCTGTGACACTGTGCTCAGCAACAAAAGCCGGGGGAAAGGGGGAGGAAGGGGGGACATTCAGGGTTATGGCGTTTGTCTCCAGTCCCCATTACGTGTGATGGAGCCTGGCTCTCCTGGAAACGGCTGAGCACCCGCCTGCCCACGGAAAGTGGTGCATGAATTCCATGTTTTGCTTTGGTTGCACACACAGCTTTTGCTTTGGCTATTAAAAGGTCTCTATCGCAACCCCTTAGTTTTCACACTTTTACCCTTCCAATTCTTTCCCCCATCCCACTGGGGAGAAGTGAGTAAGTGGCTGTGTGGGGCTGAGCTGCCCACTGGGGTTAAACCACAACACTGACCGAATGTAAATTCCTTGAGTCTGTAACAAAACACATTAAGGAGTATAGCTAAGACTAGACAAACTATTTTTACACAGTTGGGATGCTAGAGATTTGTTTTAAACACAGAATGCGTATGCACCCATGAAAATAAGGCCATGAACTAAACCAAATCTATTCCCTAGAACTTAGTACTGGTTTTATACTTAGCACTGCCCAAACAATGCAAGATTCTGCTACCGTGAACATGAATGTAATCTAAACTGAACAGAAAAGCAGACAAATGAGAGGAAGCTAAAGGACATTTAAGTAGGTAAATAACATGGTATATGCCTCCAATATTTCCATGATTATTTTTTATATTTATACTGTAACCTGAAGGACTATGAGATTAAATATGAAAGTCTGTGTGGTCAGCAGTGATTGTCCCCTGACTGGGAGGTCTTCGAACAGTCCTCCCTCCCAACACATCCTGAATACAGCTGTTCAAGACAGAACCCACACTGCAAAGACAGATAGATGATGCAAAAGAAAACGGTGTTGCCAGTTTGACACAGATAAGAATATGGACTACCTAGAGACCAGTGTTGAGCAGGCTTGCATTTGTTCATACATATCAAGCAAAAACAGGTGTGCTGTTACAAATACAGCTTATTCATAACTGCAAAGATCATAAGGGCTCTTCTATATAACATGCAAGCCTGTAATAAATAAGTCTATAGGAAAAAATGCTTCCCTCAGGACTATGAATGGAAGGGATCTGTAAAAGCTCAATTCTACATGCAGTTCAACACCCTTAGCATGCCCTACAGGTATGCTGTGAAATGGTCTGTGTATGTATAACACAGATCTTAGATCCTAACTGCCACAGGTACATTTAACAAGGTGCGCATGTACATGCCAATTTTATTTATAGAAATATAAACAGACATACATCTAGCATGGGACATACATGCACAGTTTACGCATACACAAACATGTGTGGGTACTGTAAAATCTGCGTGTGTATTGCCGCACAAGACAAGCCAATGAAGAGAAAACGACTTTGCCCCTTCTCGGAAAGGCTCACAAACTGCTCAGCCAGAGGAAGGTGGGGGAAGCATCCGCTGAGGGAAAGCACAGCCGGCAGCCCTGACAGCCTCTCAAGAGGAGCTGCCTATTCCCCTCCACGGGGGCAGCCTCGGGAAACAGCGGGAACCACGGCGGGAACGTGTATGGGAGGACCGGGATCCCCCCGCCTCGCCACCGGGCAGCCGAGGCGCGGAGCCAGGCGGAGGGGAGCGCAGCCACCCGGGAGATGGCTCCCCCCGGGGCCGGAGACCCCCGCCCCTTCCCGCCGAGGGGACCCTGCCCGTGTGCGGGGAGGATCGGAACCCCCCTCCCCTCGCCCCATCGCACCCCGGGGGGGGTCACCTACCAGCCGCCGGGCCCCGCGCAGGACGCCGCCGCCTCCCCCTTCTCCAGCGGCGGCTCGAAATAGGCGTTCAGCGCCCTCTGAAACACAGAGGCGGATGGCAGGGAGTGGGGGGGGGGGGGGGGGAGCGGCACCCCGCAACCCCGCCGCCGCCCCCCAGGCGTACCTGCATGTGCCAGTCGCTGCCGGCCAAGAAGCTGCGCGCCACCGCCTCGTCGCTGCTGGTGATGGCGGCGAACTGGGAGCACAGCACCCTCCTCCGCTTGGCGAGGTGTAACGCCTCTTCGTCTTCTTCTTCCTTCTCCTCCTCCTTCTCCACCGCCGGCGCCGGCGGCAAAAGCTCTCCCGCTTGCGGCCGCCGGGCCGCCTCGCCCCTCTCTTCCCCCTCTTGCCCCCGCCGCCCCTCCGTCCCCTCCATGGCCGCCCCGCGGCGCGGCGGAAGCCCCGGCGGCAGCCCCGCCCGCCGGCCTTGCCGTTCCGGGGCGCGCGGCGCGGGCGGGCGGGCGGGCGGGCAGGATGGGGCTCACGGTGGAGAGCCTGAAGGAGGCCATGAGGTACATGGTGGAGTCGCAGGGCTTCGACCGGGTGCTCCGCAAGGTACGGGCGGGCCGCAGGGAGAGGGGAGGGCGTCCCGGCGGCAGCTGGCCCTCAGGGCGGCCGGGCTGCTCGCTCAACAGCCGCTTTTTTCACCTCCCGGAGTAAAAGGCCGAGCCTGGCAAACGGTGGCGCCGGGGCCGGAGCAGGCCGGGGCCTGCGGTGGGTCAGCCGTGGCGTGGCGTGGCGTGGCGTGGCTGCCGCCGTGTTCCCCGGATCGGGGATCTCCGAGCGGGGTGAGTGGCCATGGCGGTAACGCGCCAGGACGCGCGGTCGTTGTTCGGTCACTCTTCAAATGCCAGAGCTGCTTTCCACCTGCCTCTCTGAAGGCGGGGACTGTGCTGAATAACCTTCCATGAGTTGTTTAGTAACTGGTGTTCTTCCCCTTCATAGTACTAAGCTAACTTTAAGGACTGCAAAAAATGATGAAATAAATTATTACCCTTCTCGGTTTAAAAAATTAAAAAAAAAGTCTCTTATTACAGCATCTCACACCTCACCTTGAAGTCAGACGGAATGCACGAGCACCCCAGTGCTTTCTGAGTTTCTACACAAGGCCTAGTATAAAGAAACGTATTTGGCTGGTGTGGCTATAATGCAGTTCTACATTATGATCAAAAAAAGTTGGAACAATGTCGCTGTGTTGTCTTATATTTCATAGTGTGCAGTGGTGTAGCTGCTGTGTAGGTTGGTCCTATGAAGCAGTTTCAGTGTTCTTATTAAACTTCGCAATGCTACAATTTTCCATTTAGTTTATATTTATTTATGTAATTGTGACATCCAGTGATGCAGTACATATATATCTAAGAAACCAACCATGTTAAAATTTATGTTTTGCATTGCAGCGGAGGAAATGTAATATTGGAAGCAGTGCTTCCATTGGCAGCTCTGTGATCCGATACATTTAATAGAAATGAACAATTTGCAAAGCAACTCTTACTGTCTTGTTTCCCCAAGATATTTTGGTCTTATATATAAAAAGTATAAAGCTTTAATTTTAAAAAGCTCATTTATTTATAAAAAGTCCAAAAGTCCTTAGTCATCCCTTCACTGATAACTTTCCTCTCCTTTACCTTAAAATCAGCTAAGTGGAGAGCAAGTGAAGTATTTAAGCTCATAAAGGTAACTGTCTGGAAGTGAGCCTTGGGAGATAGGCTTCCTACCTTGTTCTGGACTACTTTTAGACTTTTTCTGCAGTCTCCTTCTGGAATTACGATGCTATGAACATAATCATCATAACAATAAAAGTGCAGTTTTGTTTGAATTTAAAGTATTTTCTGTTTTTCTGGGAGATAACGGAAGCCTTTCCTACCGTAACTAAAGATGACTCAAGATTTTTCCTGTTCTGGAGAAGACAGGTTTTAGTCTGAAACTTTTCAGCTCCAGCATCAGACATAGTTTCTGGTTTAATTCCAGCGTGGTATCTACACGGGGCTTAATGACTGTGGGTTTTAAAGCCCTTTCTCCAAAGTAGTGTATCGCAGTGGTGGCTGGAAGCCGAAGCAGCAATACTGTTCCCTGAGACAGACGCGTGGGAGGACAAGCAGAGAAGGGCTCCGAGAAGTACAAACCAGCAGCTCTAGCTGTGTTAAGTCCTGGAAGCGTTCAAGTACCGAGCTATTTTCGTCAAGGAGAGCAAGCAGCTAGTGCCAGATAAGAGCAATGACAAGTGAAACCAGATGCTTTCCTTGCCTTGCTGATGGGTTGGAGCACTCCCTGACGGTAGTGGAAGCCATCTGCTCCCAGCGTCAAGCGTCAGTAAAGTCCTCATTAGAAATTCTGACAGAAACTTAGGCCTCCAGTCAGCACAGCGCTGCATGCCTGGTTTAGGACTTGGCATTTTCATTGATCAAGGTGCTATTTCTGTATTAGGACACTGCCTCGGTATTTTCCCCTCTGCTTAATTCCAGATTTTTCCATTCGTAGATCAACTGTGTACTACATCATCATTCATATCATTTCTCTGTAAAATTTGGATAAGCTTTGGCCTATCAAAAAGGGACATTGGCGGAAACTGAGATCAAACACTGCATTATAAATAAGGAATAGTGAAACTGGGGACATTTCAGTCTTGATTCCTTTTAAAATTAAAAAGATTTAAGTCAACTCGGCTGTTGTGGTATGGAAATACGTAAATTTTTAAAAACCCACATTCGTAGGAATTCTAATAAATATTATTCCCAGATTTCACTTTTACTTCAAAGTCTTAGTTGTATGTGTAAATATATATGCAGAATTTAGCCCAGTTTTGCACCTGCTTTCATATTTTGAATATATTTCAGATTTTTAATATAGTGCTACGAACTGAAGAAACTTGAAAAAAGGTTTTAAAAACACTGAATTGCATTAACTTTTTGGTCTCAAAAATCCAGCTTCTCATGTTACAGGGGGAAGCACGGTGCCATAGGTGTACTGTAATTTTCTATTTAACCCCTATGGGCTGGAATAAAAGTGTATAAGCAAGTCATGATGCTGTACGACAGTGTGATACAGCCTTGGATAGTTCTACTCAGGAATATGAATTTCAGTTCAGGGAGGCCAATCTGATTAGTGTTTCCAGTGCCCATTTCAAAATACTGATTTTTACTGAGGTTGCTCTAGTATAACGATTTGTGAATTACAGTCAGTCTCATTTTCATTTTGTGAGCTGACAAATACACCTTCACAACTATGGTACACACAGGTAGTCAGCGCAGTTTTGTGTTCCCTCCAATCTGTTTTTTTAGCTGCAGATTAAAGCAAAAGTGAAGAAGAATGTTGTCTCCTAAGCAACTTGTGGGAGCATAGCAACTACTGAAGTTTTGTTGTCAGTTTAAACATTTATCTGCACTAGATATACAACTTTTTCTAATGCAACAGTCTTCTGCTCAAAATTTATGGAAATACTGAATGTGACAGTTGAATTACTATATTTTCCATCTTTTGTCTCATGACTCCAGAATTAAACAAGATGAACTTTCAGTTTGATTCAGGGCAGTATCAGCTGTTGGTACTATTGTCAGTAAGCTTTTTATTCCTTTTTTCTTTTTACAGATGAAACTTCTTTCTGCAACTCCTGGAAAAATTGTTTGTGAAATGAAAGTAGAGGAGGAGCACACAAACCGAGGTGGCACATTACATGGGGGTTTGACAGCCACACTTGTGGATGTGGTGTCAACAGCAGCATTGTTGTACACAGAACGAGCAGCACCTGGGGTCAGTGTGGACATGAACATCACGTAGGTATCCTCTCCCATGTTTACCAGAAGACACTAACTTTCCTTCCCCTAACACAGTATTGTACTTCATTTCTGTGCTCTGGTAGTCACTTAAAAAAGGTGTTTTCTTTGGTTTTAGAAGTCTTGTTTTGATAAATTAAGGGAGGGCTTGTATTTAGGGATATTGCCATTTGGTTGCAAAATTCAAGTTGGGCTTTCTTAAGCTTTTATTTATTACATGCGTTTAAGAGACTGTTCGCTTTCATTCATAGACTGTAAAGGGATGTAGGTATGTGTTAAATTTTAGTCTTATGAAATTGGCTCAACTTATGTTAGAGTGTGTCCCCAAACACCAAGATCTAAGGTAAGCAGCTTTCTGTAAACCCTTTTTTACTATTAGCGTATAAAATGTTAAAACAGGAAAAATGCTAAAACAGGAAACAGTTTAGCTCTGTTTTATGCTCACATAGAGGGCTAATTACAGATTAAATCAGAATTTCTCAGTGGAGGAACATTCCTTTGCCCTAGGTTATTTAAAGGTAGTTTTATACTGAGAATAGTTCTTCCTGTAATGCAAACTTAAAGCCCAGTGTCTGTGAAAAAAAAAAAGTTGTTCTGAAACCTTCTTTGATCATGCTATTATAGCTTGTCAGCTTTGATTCATTACTTTTAGTGAAAAGATTATGACTCATTGGAACTAAAGTAATCCTACTTGGAATAACTAACACAGAGCATTAAAATTCTTGGAAAATAAACCCTTCCTCAAAACTGTCTTTAAAAAAACAAACAACAAAAAAATAACCCACCCAACAAACAAACAAAAACTTTAAAAGTGTGTGGGAAGTAAGCTGTGTCTTTCTCAGTTTCCCTCCTTTCCCCCCCACCACATTCTGATCTCTCCACTGGGCAGGTGGGACTGGAGCATCTATTTAAGCTTTATACTACCATTATGATGACTAGGAAATCACTGGTAATGAAAACCTGAAATTGTCCTGTCATTGTTTTTTTTCCCTATGGTAATATTGTAAGAGGTCAAAATCTGAATTATTTACATTATCAAGTATGCCTACCCAATTACATAAGGGCTGAAGTCTTACGAAAGTGCTCTCTCTGGAGTCTGGAGGTGATCCAAAATGATTTGAGTAGCACAACCTTTAGGAAATACTATATGAAGCAGTAATAGCTTTGTTTAACTTGGACTATTACTTTCATTGAATAAATGATACTGGTTGTCAAATATTGCTATAATACAGCTTTTTCCTTTTTGGGGAAGGAGCTTTTTAAAAAGTTGGCACGAGGAAGCTATTTCAGTAATGGAAAGAACAGAAAGAAACAGAGAAACTTTTTTTTTTTTTTTTTTTAAATCACAAGAGAATGAGCAGTAGCTGCTAAGAATGAAGCAAGACTGAAACCCTGCCCCCTGTCACTAATGGGGCTTGTGCTACACCGGCATTAGGCGTGACTGACATACTTTTGATATGGTGTCATGTATAAAAATGGACTGATTGATGTTTATCTCAGTAAGATTTCTATCCAGCATTATACATTCTCCTCTAATTTTAACATTTGAATATTGTTCCCTTACCTCAGATCATGGTTGAATCATGTTCCTCCTAATTCTTTCCAGGCTTTTTGTGGGGGAATTTCTTCCTATTCCCTGCAGAGTGTATTTTAAAAGCACACCCTCCCACTCATGTAAATAAAAACATAGTTATCTAATGAATGGAAACAGCAGTAAACCTGGGAAGTTTGAAGGCCTCCCAGATTTCCACGACTTTTCTCTGATCAGGGTATGGGAAGCAGTTAACATACGCTTGGGTTCCATATAGAAATGACCTTCTAGAGTCTTTGTAACTGAGACATTTTGCAGCTGAACCAGCCAGACTAGTTTAGAAAGGCTGTAGGGAGCCAGCAGTGGCTGGAATACGACTTGGAGCTGAACCTTTAGCTGAAGTCTTTGATACCTAATTGTTTCTGTTCCAAAATGGACTTTTCCTCAGACCCAAGCCAACGGGTTTCTTTCTATTCTCCATTTTCTCAGAGAACTCTTACAGTGAATTACCACTGCAGTACTTCAAGGAACTCAAGGACTTTAAGAGGTGGGCATTTGCAAGCAGACAGAGAGATGTGTCTATTACTCGCTTTTGCTAATTCCCTCCATGATAGTCTAGAACGCAGGAATATTCTTAGATTTGTGTTCTGTACAGCCTCTTATATGTTCATTTTGTTCTTCATTGAAGATACACTTCTGCTGCTAAGATTGGAGAAGAGATACTGATTACAGCTCAGATTTTGAAGCAAGGAAGAAATATTGCATTTGCCAGCGTGGATTTAACAAATAAGGCAACAGGAAAGTTAATTGCACAAGGTAGACATACAAAGTATCTAGGAAATAATAAGAAAGCAATTTAAAAAATAATAATGTTGGGCTTAAAAATCCCATATAGATTGATTTTCTCATTTATGCAAAAAGACATCTGCATGGAGTTGTGGTAGTCTATATAGAGTAAATTTGTCTCACTCCAATAATAAATGAACAGATTTCTTAATTACCACCAGTATTGCTACAAGCCTAAAATTAGTGCCTATTTTGGGATGAACAACAGGATGTAATAGCATGAGGATGCATCTGACTGGTTTTGGTTAAGATAGCAAAAGGGGAGAGCCTTTGTACCAAACATACAGTTTACCAAAATGACAGTGTTTTAAGAGTTCTCTTTTTTCTTTCCCTGTGGTGTCATCATGTTAGAAAGCAACCCTGTCTTCAGGCACCTGACACTCACATTCAAACACCACTATATATGCTTACAAACTGAACTGGTTCTGTAAGATGGTAGTACAGAGTTCCCATAACATAACGTGAAACTGGTTTGAAAGTGTAAAGTAGGCTAATACAAAATGTAATTTACTGATGATGTAAAAAATTCACAAGTATTCAATAAAGCTTTCTGAAACTACCTTTTTAAAGATTATTTAATAGTTTTGTAATCTCTTTGCATTGAGTAAAAGCTTGCCAGCATGGAGTGGTTGAGAGAGGGTGTGGTGGAACCCTTGTACACAAATTCACCTGAGATCTGGTTATATCCCTGTGATTCCTGAATGTAAAAATGCAGTTACATCATAGGGTCTTTTCACCTCTACCTACCTGAAGTTCTGGCTAGGTTTGTTTAAAAATCATCAGCTGAGAGTTAGAGATGTATCAGAATAAATTTGGTGAGCCTTTCACCAGGATAAGACTGTAGATTGTCCGACTTGTGTTGAACATGGTACGAGTTAAGCTGCTGTTCATCTGCTGAAGACTTGTCTCATCATGTACTGTTGTGAACACATTTAACTGCTTGCTTCAAACTGATGACAAACAATCCTTGGCAAAGCTATCACACTAATTAAAACAGTGATGCTACATGTGCAGTGCAAGTTTACATCAAGCATGACCTTAGTTTTTCTTCTCTAGGGGGAGATTTGAAAAAGTTTATCTGCACTAGTAAAGGGCACGCATAATTCTTTTTGTCATGAAAGTTGACTCATTGTCTTCAGTGATTTGAATTTCATGATTAAATGTGCAGCTAGGGTTCTTTTTGTACATTCTTAAACCTAAAGAAATAATTTCCAATGAGTTAAGTCACCTGTTCATGCAGACTGATTTTCAAGTTGAACAAGTTTACTAATATATCAGCAATCCTTCCAGAATTACTTTCAAACAAGCCCTAGAGCTGACACCTTACCCTTCAACGGAAGTTCTCAAAAAAACCCCACCTACACTGGGCTCAGGCTATCAGCATGTATTTTTGCTGCAAGTTTAGAACACTTATTCATGGTATATAAATTCTCAACAAAAGCTTTTCCTCTGAGGCTGTCTCAGAAGTGTATGTGGCTCGAACTTTTAATAGTAGCATCCTCTCTTCAGCAGTACCTTCGTAATTATTTTTCCCTCCATACTTGCACTCATGTTCAGAATCATCCCTGAATCCCATTTATAGAGACACAACGCTTTGCTAAAGCAGTTCTTTGAAGATACTTAGTACAGGAGCAACCTTTTTTGTTTTAAATCTTTGTTCAGCAGACCTGTATGCTTCACTGTATTAAATTTTCTCACTTTACAGCTTCCTCTGCCTGGAGCTCTATTGTTAGTCTTAAATATCTCCAGCTCCTCTACAATTGCTAGGATGAGCCTGCAGAGAGGATCCATCAGCATGTGGACCCACCTAGTGGGTTTAGCAATTGCTGTTCCAGTTGTCTTCCCTAACATGTTCTGGTATCTCCAATAATCTTTTTCTCATTCTTGAATTTACTGTTTTGTTTTTTTTTTTTTCCCCATAGGTTACCCACTTAGTGGAGTACAAGGAAATAAAAGTGAGGATTAAAACTGCTCCCCCCAACTACTATAAATCTACCCCCACTCACTGGAACACAGGAGTAATTTGACTATTATCTGAAAGAAAAAGCAGAGGCAGAGAACAAAGGAGGTGCCGAATTCAATACATGCCAAAAGGCTCAGAACACTCTCAGCTCTGTGTGCTGGGGCAATTCTGTCCTTGTGTAACTGTCTCACTGCAATTTAACGTGACTTCCCTCAATCAAAGCTGGCTGCTGCCTCAGGAGCCTACTCTAGTTAAGTGTTCTCATTCTATCACTTAGTATTCATCATATCTACATAATTACAATTGAAAAGCGTCCAGGCAAATTAAGAGTGGCAAGCCTCAACGTGGAAACAACAGTATCCTCCTGTTTCCCATTCCAACCTGGCAGGACTGTTGCAGGCTGAGTGGGAAACAGGAAAAAAAAAAAACTTCCTGAAATTGAATTCTCTTCTCCCTTGTAAGACTATTCACTCACCACAGTATTTTGGTGCTGCCTAATTAATCGGAAAGAGGGGCATCATTAATATGCAGGCCAATTATTTTAGAAGCAGTTCATTAAACTGATTATTTTAAGACAAAAATATCTTACCCCTCCACCACCAGCAGCATGTTGACCTCACTTTATTTCACAACTTAACTTAGGCTTGGAGATGATCTTAGAATGAATTGTCACCATTGAGCTTGCTTAGCTTTGGGAATAAATAGTCAAACATCAGACTTAATATATGGAAGTGTTCTTTACTGATTTCACCCTGACCTACATATTGAAAAATGTGTATCTTACCATAGCTGAGTCTTAAAGGAAGTAATAGGAAAAAAATTACCATAAGGACAAATGGTACATAGTTCTTACCTGGCATCAAACAGATCTCCTGTAGGGTTGACCTGCTTCCATCAGTGCAGATTTAGGCATAATTCCCTTACAAGCAAGCAAATACAGTGGCTTGATGAAATCGTGTTGCATGTCTTTTTAGCATACCAAATTACATATCCAATAACTGACAGACATCTGTAAATCACATATCTTACAGCTGCAAATGAGACTGTCCCTCCCAGATTGTGCCATTTGGGATTTTTGTTGGCTTTTTTGTTTGTTTGTTTGGGAGTTGGTGGGGGTTTTTTGGTTGTGGTTTTTTTTGTTGTTTGTTTGCGGTTTTTTGTTTTCCTCAGGTTTTTTGGTTTTGCTGTTTGTGGAGTTTTTTTTTTTTTTAAATATACCAAACACATACACCATACTCCTTGATGTCTAGACGTCTGTCCTTATGAAGGGCCACACTTTTCACACAGCAGCGTGTGACACATTGTAGAACAATTTGTCTCTATCAGTGAAAATGACTGCAGCTTCCCTCTTCATGCAATATTTTGGTCAGCCAAGTGTTTGATGCTGTTTTTGCCTCACTACTGCTGCACAAATGTGTTCAGACTCAGGTCGTCACACCGTGGCAGAACAGAACTGTGCATTGCAGATCCTTTGAGAAAATGGTGAATTGGAACAGCATCGTTCCCACTGGCATTTAAAACCAAGAGTCCAGATACTAATCAAGGCAAACACTGATCACAGATTAAGGTGCTCTGAGGAAGAATTTAGTCATTAAGGATTCCAGCTTTGGGAAGAAGCAACTTGTCAGTGATAAACTGGGGAGAGGAGAGGGTAAGGAAGGACGTCACTGCTGAGACAAGCATTAAACTATCAGAAGTCCTTGTTAGTCTTTCAGGTTGAGCCACCTGTCACAGGGGTCTCACAACTGAGCTGCTTCACCTAGGTTACTCCATCAATGTAATTACCAGCTAGTAGTTTTACAGTTCTCAAATTGGCGAGCATTACCACATAAAGGGGATGGGAGGGGCGGAGAGAATTAGGCTGTTAGGTAACTGTTCTGAACAGCAGTTCAATTCTGTTCAGCTTCACTGACTGGCTCTGAGCCACTGCCAGGGCATATGGAAGAATTTCCAACTGCATTTTATCGCTAACCATTTTTGAATTCTGTATCTATGGAAGCCATTTAGCCAGGAGAAGGATACCCCAAAACCTCGCCTTTACCTCACTGTCCTTAGGAACGAAGAAAAAAACATTTGGATTCCTATTTTGCTACCTAAGAGTTCAGGGACAACACACTGACAGCTATTGCCTTTGTGATTCTGTAACGCATTCACTGAACGACTGCTGTTAGCCCATCCCCTGATCCCAAGCTGCCATGGTTGTGGGACACTCCAACACATACAATTCTTGCCTAAACCAGAGTAAATTGCCTGCAAGCTCTAATCAATCAAGACACATTGACTGTCCTCCAGAAAAAAAAAAAAAAAGGCAAAGCAAAACAAACAAAACTACCCAGAAGCATAAAAAAAAAAAAAAAAAAAAAAAAAACAAAACCAAAAAAACCTACTTTTGTTCACCAAAACAGTACCTGGGGCTGTACCACTGCAGTAAGATTCTGGATCTTTGATTTCTTTTGCTTAAAAGCAGTAGCTGCTCAAATAGATTTCAAGAACCTAGAAAATCAGCTTGTAGAGTGGATGCTCCAGTATACAGCAACTGTGCACAGTTAAATGACCTTTCCATATGTAAATCCTTTCCAAGCAGAACTAGGTCATACATATCTTCAGCCCTAAAAAGCATTTCAGTCAGCCACACAGAAGAGAAACGATGCTCATCACTTCGCTTGCTTCAGCTAACCCGTAAAGCTAACCCACCCCTCCGCAGCATCAGCGCTGTACCACCCGCCTCCTGAGCTCCCAGCTGCCGTGCACAGGTCAGAAAGCAGCACCTGCGGGATCCTCCCGAGTATTCCTGACACCAGAGCTCGTCTGTACTCCAAGAACACGGCCACGAGGAAGACTTAAACACCAAACTGATAGAAAGCAGCCAGCCCCCGCGCCCTGCAGCAGGGAAAGAGCGAAGGGAACTTCCAGTTCCAGTGCAGAGGCTCGCTCTGTCTGAACCTTGTAACTCACAGTCACGCTGAACTCCCACCGCAGAGGGAAGTAGCCGAGCAGGTACGGGACACACCTGCAAGCTGAGGTCTTGCTCTCACACCACCAGCGTGGAATCAAGCAGTACAGGTGCAACCGAAGGCCAAACCCATACACAGCAACGTCCTTCTTGTGCACTGACGATACTAAGTGACAAGTAGTGACATTGGCCTTATGGTTTGAGAAGTGGCTTGTATGTAAGGATTACTAAAATGAAAAATTCCACAGACGAAATTCTAGAGTAAACTGCATACCATGCCTCAAACATCCACGCTGAATCTTTTCCCCTTTTGTAAAACACTATTAAAACCTTTTATCTCATTACTTTATTCCAGAAAGCTGTTCCAGAATCTATAGGCTTATATAGCTGCAATAAATGCAAAACTAAAAATGGGAGAAGCTTTTCCCAGCTAATGAAATAGCAAATAAGTAAACTCAGACCATATGTGTCTCTGCTTAGTGGATGTAAATGTAGTCTAGTAATTCTTGACTTGGACAACTATCATGGTAGTGGCAAGAACCTTTATGTAATCTTAATTGAAGCCTGTAACAGTCCATTAAAACAATCTCACACTGAAGAAACAAAAAAAAAAAAACACCCTTAAGTGACCTTTCTCACTCTT